GCTATGAGGGAAATTTTGCCCGGGCAGCGGCACTATCGCCTACTCTTATATCGAATTCCAACTGCCAAGGGATCTTTTACGTGCATTCCAATGTATACACGAGACCTCGGTTTTTCGTCTCATCCGAAGGACTAGACAGCTGTCCTTGTCAGGCCCTCCGGTATGATTGGGAAAGTGACAACAATAAATATATATATGAAATAAGAACTATGTGCTTATTGGGATGATTGGGAAAGTGACATGAGATGAGAATAGAGAAGTATGATAGATATGGTGTCACGAGGAGACCTTTACTTAGGATAGCCCATAAAGCCGGACGTATATAACATCCGTGGCTTATCTCCATTGTGGTTCAAACTTGTCAAGGTCGCGTCAGGTCATCATTAGGAGACAAAACTTAATAAATATGCCAATCCCTGCAAAATATCACAAATAATTAAATATATTTATATCTACATTTTATACATCAGCCAATTTGATTAATAGTAAATAAACAGGCATGTAGGCCTATCACAGATTAAGTTATATTTATAGCACGGCTTTCATGAGTTAACAGGTTTAACCAGAGGCCAAAGCAAAGGACGAGGGGTTAAACCTGTTAACGAATGAAGCGTGCTATAAATGACTTGTAGTAACACTGACAACTGCTCAACATACTTATTGTTATTGCACTGAAAACCCACCCCACTTCTCTATATGATTTCTACTAAAACTAGTGTAAACCAGCAAAAGTGTGCAATAACATTGAACATGTCTAATTATTGCACGGTTAAGCTTCACCCAATCTACTAGAGGGAATACAATCTGCTTATTCAACGAAAAAAACAAAGGAAGATTTCCCCTCCATGTTACACTATTGTTTCGACAATAAATACTTCTTGGCTGCAACTTTAAAGCTGTATAGTGAATCGATAGACTTAATATCATTCGGTAAACCATTCCAGATACTTATGGCGGTATATATAATAAAATGATGCGAACTGATCTGTACCCGCGCATTTTGGAACAGCGAAATTGTATAAACTAGATCTTGTGCCGTATTAATGAGTATCTTGAACACATTTGAATTTTGATTTAAGGTATAATGGACAATTATTATGAAAAATCGTATGTACATGGTTTAGTTTTAACTGTTTAACTCGGTTTTCAACATTTAGTATTTAGTTAAGCATTTTAATGACTTTTTTTTACAGTTCTATAAACTGGAAATTCAAGCTATTAGAATAGTGTTAAAAGAATGTCATTATGTTGTTTCAATTTGTAAATAATTTTGATTCAGGACAACATGTCCTTCCTGTAAAGTCAATCTCACAATTAACATAAATTTGATGTTACGTTTGTCTGACAATTTGATGCTAGTGCCAGTCAGTACTCATGCGACGTAATTTGTGGATATATATTTCATGACAGAATATTTCCAGCTTTCTTTCATAAGAAGATACTTATTTTTATGGATTCATTGATGCCTTTCTACAGTACACATACAGACTAAAATTAGAAAATAATGCATAATAATTCATCTAAGAGTAAACTAGGTAACTAAACGTATCTTTTTCATTTTTTAAAAAAAAAAAGTAGCCAAATTGAGAAAAAAAATGCTTTATTAGAAATTCATTAGAAATAATATGCTTTTAAAAAAAGGGTTTATGGAATATTCACATATTTTCAACAAAATTATTAACGGTGACGTGGCTAAGTGGGTAAGACGCTGGCTCGCTAGCCTGGAGGTCGGGTGTTCGATCCCTGCATTGGCCGAGAAAGTTCATCCAGATTTTCCGGCGTGGTTCCCCCTTGTCAGTGATGCAGGACGGAGGGCCTGACAAGGACAGCTGTCTAGTCCTTCGGATGAGACGAAAAAAACGAAGGCCCGTGTATACATTAGAATGCACGTAAAAGATCCCTTGGCAGTTGGAATTCGATATAAGAGTAGGCGATAGCGCCGCTGCCCGGGCAAAATTTCCCTCATAGCACACTGTATGGCGTATGCCCGTCTTCATTAGCCCAGCATAGGAGCAGAACAGTAGGACGTTAAACCCCATTTCATTTCATTTCATTTCATAACGAATATAAGTCTTCCAGAATATTATCATATATAATAATCTGAATGATATTTCATAAGGCCTCGAGTATATATTATTTTAGCTTGTATACACTTAAAGACGTGTAAATGTTACAAAATATTACCAAGTACTATATCTTAATATGAATAAACCACATCATTCAGCTAAGTTGTAAGGATATGTGTAAGGATATTCATTGTAAATTGATACAGATTGTCTAATTGCCCAACAGCAGTTGAATTTGAATCAGTCTAATGGATATTTGTCAATTTAATATCGTTGTAAAATGAAGCGAAATAGTCGACGTTCTATATGTAATCTGGGTCAGGCTAAACGCCTTATTAATAATTATCATAGAGGCATATAGCCAATTTTAAGTTTTCTAAACTTAGAAATCGTTGGCTTAAAATAAATATCCAACAAAACAAATTACACCTGCGTTGGTGCATTCTCCACACAAGTCTCGCTATCCAGCATTCGACTCTGCCGTCGGCTCGCGCACTACACCAGTTGACCTAGAGGTCATTGGTCACGTGATTAACTACATGATGAAAATGGCATCTGTCAGAAAAGTTCCTCTCGTTATAAACACTTGATGAGTTTTACTCTATTTTGTCATTAAATACTACGCCTCCGAAAGAAAACAGTCTAATTGCATGTTTCGTATGTAAATGTATTAGGCCTTATACGATCGCGTTATAAAGGTAAACGGATCCACGTGTATTATATTCTAAAATTAGCACGGCGACATGCGCAGTTCGTTTTTACGACCATTGAACCCCGTAATCTTACGCGAAAGAGTTCCCTGTATATTTGTAAATACTTTATTATTTTGCAATAAATATGACCCCATTTCTATTTTAATATAGTGATGGTACCAAATATATTATTAGTTATTTGGTATTCATCGTATCTTTTATCATTGTCTATCATCACCAAGAATCTTGGTGGCGTAGTCAAATGAGCCGTTAGCAGAGGTTAGTGTGAACTGCAAGGGAAGACAACTCTGTTTGGGAGATTGGCGTTGGTGTAGTTATTAAAATGGAAGTGTAATTGACAAAACATCCTTGAGGGGTAATGCTTAATCTACACCATTTAAGTGTAACATTACACTGTCTGGGTGCAACACTCATCCGAATGTGGCGTATAAGGCAGGTTACACTACTGGAAGTGGCAACTAGTTTCCACCTGAATTACACTCGGCAAACCTCAACAGATTCCAGTACCCTACATCTAATCTCGGCTGTATGACCAAGTCCGCCATTAGAACTACTTTCAAGTTCCCGGATTACAATGGCGTTGTCCATGACGACTAATGACGTCATTGATGACGACGTATTTGAAGAATGTTTTATCATACAAAATTTTCAAAGTTTTAAGCTGTTTTTCTTTCAAGTTTATCCGATTTTCTTTAGACAAGGACAAATTTGCACTGAAAATTCTACACTCGTCGAACGACGCAATTTTGAGAACTTCTTTCTAAACGCGGGCAAGTTTCCCTTATAAGTAAACCGGTGCCGCATCGCAAATGTATAGGCGTAGGTGCATATCACTTACTGTCATACAGCCGAGATGTAGGGTTCCGGAATCTGCCGAGGTTTGCCGAGTGACCTGAATTGGTGTAATGTTCTACACTAGTTGGGTGTTATCAGTTTAAACCATTAGGACTAAGACTAGTAATTATTTCCCCTTATTTCATGATTGACGAATGTAGTGCGAGTTATAAATAGACAATTTTTCCCTTAATTTTTGTCTCCCCTCTTCCTGCATTTTTGGGTTGACTTTTTGGTCTAGAATTGGAGAAAAGGGATCAAATTTGCAATTTCATAGCAGTTTTGGGTAATACTGATGATATTACAGCGGAGGGATAGGGGGTGTAAAGTGTCTTTCTGCAGAGCAATCATTGTGTCGGAAGTGAGATTTTCACCCCTGTCAACTTCAAATCCGTGTAGCAAAAAATCTAAACGGCCAACCCCCTACAAAATTATGATGAGGAGATTGCCAAATGTTGTCCCCATTGTGCCTATAAAGATTGGAACCAACGGAATGTTGAGCAAAAAGCTACAGCCTGTAATGTTACAGTCATTTAACATTGAAGTCAATGGGCAAATAATTGCTAGTCTGAGTCCATTAAAGGCTTGGAGTTACCCCTGCTTAGGTGGCAACTAATTTCCACCTGAATTGGTGTAAACTACCTTATTATTCTTAACAGTGCACGCATATTGCTATATCCGTTTCAAATTCGCCATTTCGAAGATTTTCAACCAAGGACCGTTATTAAATGATCATATTCTATAAAACAGATAACGCTGATTGATTTTCAAACACAGGACGAAATGACAATATTTTGAGAGTGTTTAAAATCCATTAAATTAATCATTACGCTATACTACAATATCACACCTACAACATCACAAGAGTGTCTGGACATTTATTGAACACATTAGCCTATCCAATTGATTTGTTTACGAATTTGAAACAAAAATATAAGGATGAGATAATAATATTGGTACAATCAGTGACATAGCGTATGATATATATAGTTACCCTTGACCTAATCAGTCGAGTGTTTTTAATCCGCTCACAGTTTTTTGTTGGCTGACTTACACACATCTATTTTACAAAATGTTGTCTAGAAAAGGCCAGTTCGTTTTATCAATGGGCGTATTGGTATCCATCACACTCTGCATGGTTACATTATATGATACTCCAACTTTGGTAAGATTTGTATTTAATTAAGATTTTTAAAAATCTTTAAATGTCATTAACACAGTTCTATGGATAACATTTATTGAACACATTAGCCTATCCAATTGATTTGTTTACGAATTTGAAACAAAAATATAAGGATGAGATAATAATATTGGTACAATCAGTGACATAGCGTATGATATATATAGTTACCCTTGACCTAATCAGTCGAGTGTTTTTAATCCGCTCACAGTTTTTTGTTGGCTGACTTACACACATCTATTTTACAAAATGTTGTCTAGAAAAGGCCAGTTCGTTTTATCAATGGGCGTATTGGTATCCATCACACTCTGCATGGTTACATTATATGATACTCCAACTTTGGTAAGATTTGTATTTAATTAAGATTTTTAAAAATCTTTAAATGTCATTAACACAGTTCTATGGATAACAATCACTATATTATATACACACGATGTTTCGACAAGAGTTCACTGGATGTTATCAAACATTCTTTCCCAATTTGTAAGCTTGATAATATGTCGTGTTTATATATCGATTGTTGTCCAAAGAATTGTTATAAGAGTCTATCAAAAAGTGAACCTCATCATCACCAACAATGATAATGGTGTACATGTATGTGGTAGCTGTAGACGAAATGGTTGATATACTGAACACACGTGCATTTTCTATGGATTAAATTGGATTAATAAATATCATGGATGTAGCAGAATAAGACCAATTAAAGTTAAGTACATGTAAAACAATTAAACATTTGATGTTTAGAGTACATGTTTTTTTATTCAATCTATTTATTAAATGGCCGTTCCGAATGAACTTACTCCAGACAACTATTCGTCTGTCCTTATAAATAGCAAGATTTGAGTGGGTAGCTAAGGTCTTAATATTTTTGACACTGTCATAAGCAGAGGAGGATGTCTATGTAGGCAGGGTAGGCAGCTGCCTACGACCGAAGCAAAAACATCGCCCAAATCGGACAAATACAATTTGACTTTTTGACTTTACTCAGGCTACTTATTATTTACATAATACCACCACTCGGCAAACCTCGGCAGATTCCGGTAGCCTACATCTAGCCTCGGCTGTATGACAGTAAGTGATATCCCAGTTAACATTGATGGTTAGATTTACGTAAAGTTTACGTCATTATGGTTAGATTTTGGTTAGCGTCCAATAATGGTAAAATTCTTTGGTTAAATTTACGTTACTTTTACGTCATAATGGTTATGGTTACTTTTACGTCAGAAAATGACGTAAATGTAACGTAAACATTATGACGGGTTACTAACCAATTTTTTTCCTTTTGAATACTTCTTGATTAAATAACATTACAAGTGTGTGCACATTCTAACAATTGATATATAGTCGGAATTCAGACATAATAATTACATATGTATTATTGGTTATAATTCTAACGTTAATCTAACGTAAATTTTACATCAGGTTTCTAACCGTTAGTTTATGGTTAGTTTTCTGACGTAAATCTAACGTTAGTTTTCTGACGTAAATCTAACGTTAGTTTTCTGACGTAAATCTAACGTTAGTTTTCTAACGTTAATATAATATTAGTTTTCTAACGTTATTGTAATGTTAGTTTTATGTCATAATTTTAACCGTTAATTTAACGTTAGTTTTCTAACGTAAATCTAATGTTAATTTTATAACATAAATCTAACTTTAGTTTTCTAACATAAATCTAACGTTAGTTTTCTAACATAAGCCTGATATTAGTTGTAAAACGTAAAACAAATGTCAGTTTAATGTCATGATACTAACAATTAAGGGCCTGACAAGACAGCTGTCTAGTCATTAAAATGGGACAAAATTGGGTAAGACCCTGGCTCGCTAGCCTGTTCGATCCCTGCATTGGCCGAGAAAGTTCATCTAGATTTCCGGCGTGGTTTCCGCTTGTCAGTGATGCAGAACGGAGAGCCTGACAAGGACAGCTGTCTAGTTGTTCAGATGGGATAAAAAAACCGAGGTCCCGTGTACACATTGGCATGCATGTAAAAGATCCCTTGACAGTTGGAATTCGATATAAGAGTAGGCCGTAGTGCCACTGTCGGGGCAAAATTTCCCTCATAACACACTGTATGGTGTATGGCCATCTTCATTAGACCAGTTCGGAGCAGAACAGATGGACGTTAAACCCCATTTCATTTCATTACATTTTGTATCCATTTCTAAGTGCCCAAGAATAGAGACCTAGCTCCTTTAATAGTTGCGGTCTGTAGGTGAACAGCCACGTGATGGACTAGACACTGTTTTTTTTAGGTCCTCTGTCCTACACCACTACTAACAAAGGGAACTTTCTCGACCAACATGGGGATCACGTTGGCTAAGTGGGTAAGACGCTGACTCGCTAGCCTGGAGGTCGGGTGTTCGATCCCTGCATTGGCTGAGAAAGTTCATCCAGATTTTCCTGCATGTTTTCCCCTTGTCAGTGATACAGGACGGAGGGCCCGACAAGAACAGCTGTCTAGTCAGGGATGAAAAACTGAGGTCACGTGTACACACAGGAGTGCACATGAAAGATCCCTTGGTAGTTGGAACTTGATATAAGAGTAGACCATAGCGCCGCTGCCTGGGCAAAATTTCCTTCATAGCATACTGTATGGCGTATGCTCGTCTTCATTAGCTCAGTTTAGGAGCAGAACAGTAGGAAGTTAAACCCGATTTCATTTCAGTTTTCTCTACCAACACGGAAATTGAACCCCTCATTTGCTAGCCAGTGTGTTACTAATTACTAGAGAGAGAGAGAAATGGGGTTTAACGTCTACTCGACACAAACTAGGTCATTTCGGGACTAACATATGGTTTAATTTTTATTTACATAATTCGCTTGCGCGTAGGGGTCTTTAGCAGTGGGAGAAAACCGGAGGTTGGACTGGCGACCCTACTCCTTGTCACGTACAACCGGGGATTCGAAACCACGCCAGTCAACTCAATGACAGACTTTATGATACAGCGCCCGCACGCTAACCATTCAGCCATCCAACCCCCCCGTTACTAATTACTAAGTTTGTGAAATGTAGGTTTTTCCTCATGTAGGTTTGTCCTGATGAAATCGGTTTATTGTCCTACCGTTCCTGCTCCGACTGGGCTAATGAAGACAGGTACATACCATACAATGTGCTATGAGGGAAATTTTGTATCCATTCTAAGTGCCCAAGAATAGAGACCTAGCTCCTTTAATAGTTGCGGTCTGTAGGTGACACACAAAGAGAAAACGAATGAATGAATGATCTACTCTCATTTCAAATTCCAAATGTCAAGGGTTCTTTTACGTGCACAGCCACGTGATGGACTAGACACTGTTTTTTTGAGGTCCTCTGTCCTACACCACTACTAACAAAGGGAACTTTCTCGACCAACATGGGGATCACGTTGGCTAAGTGGGTAAGACGCTGACTCGCTAGCCTGGAGGTCGGGTGTTCGATCCCTGCATTGGCTGAGAAAGTTCATCCAGATTTTCCTGCATGTTTTCCCCTTGTCAGTGATACAGGACGGAGGGCCCAACAAGAACAGCTGTCTAGTCAGGGATGAAAAACTGAGGTCACGTGTACACACAGGAGTGCACATGAAAGATCCCTTGGTAGTTGGAACTTGATATAAGAGTAGGCCATAGCGCCGCTGCCTGGGCAAAATTTCCTTCATAGCATACTGTATGGCGTATGCTCGTCTTCATTAGCTCAGTTTAGAAGCAGAACAGTAGGACGTTAAACCCGATTTCATTTCATTTTTCTCGACCAACACGGAAATTGAACCCCTCATTTGCTAGCCAGTGTGTTACTAATTACTAGAGAGAGAGAGAAATGGGGTTTAACGTCTACTCGACACAAACTAGGTCATTTCGGGACTAACATATGGTTTAATTTTTATTTACATAATTCGCTTGCGCGTAGGGGTCTTTAGCAGTGGGAGAAAACCGGAGGTTGGACAGGCGACCCTACTCCTTGTCACGTACAACCGGGGATTCGAAACCACGCCAGTCAACTCAATGACAGACTTTATGATACAGCGCCCGCACGCTAACCATTCAGCCATCCACCCCCCCCCCCCCGTTACTAATTACTAAGTTTGTGAAATGTAGGTTTTTCCTCATGTAGGTTTGTCCTGATGAAATCGGTTTATTGTCCTACCGTTCCTGCTCCGACTGGGCTAATGAAGACAGGTACATACCATACAATGTGCTATGAGGGAAATTTTGCCCCAGCAGCGGCACTATGGCCTACTAATATCGAATCCAACTGCCAAGGGATCGTTTTGTGCAAGCCAATGTATACATGGTACCTCGGTTTTTTGTCCCATCTGAGTGACTAGACTACTGTCCTTGTTCCTGCACCTCTGACAAGGGGAAACCATGTCGGAAAATCCTGTTGAACTTTCTCCACCAATGCAGGGATCGAACACGTGCCCTCCGGATTACCGAGCCAGCATCTTACGCACTTAGCCACCGTGGCTTTATCAAAATTAGTAATGAAGATGTGCTATGACAGAAATTTTGCCTGGACAGCAGCATTACCGCACTTACTAATGAAGATGTGCTAGGAAAGACATTTTGCCTGGAGAGCAGCATTTCCGCATATAGTCATTACCAATAGTCCTAAGTGCACGCCAACCTGTAAAAGAGGTCTTTACACACTTTTCCATCATTACCAATTACTAGTCTACGGGTTCACTAGTCCGTGGGTGTACTAATCCGTGCATTCACTAGTCCACTAGTCTGACTCTATAAAATACTATAAATATGAGTATTAAAGAAACCCAGTAGATATGGTGACTGATATCACCCTTCGTAAGGCGATAACCTATCATCACGGCATTTTAACCCGAAATCACAACATTTTAACCATTATAGCATATGCCCTTCTTCATTAGCCCACTTGGAACAAAATAGTAGGATGTTCAAACCCCATTTAAAATTCATTTTCATACTTTTCTGCACCAATCGGACTATTGAAGATAGTCATACGCAATGCAGAGTGCTATGACGGAAATTTTCTATGGACTGTGGCAGGGCGGAGGATCTGGCAAGGGATAAGGTATAGTTGTTCGGGTCATACGAAAAATCAAGTCCTCATGTACATATTGGCATGCACGTAAAAGACAATCCAACAGTTGTAATTCAATATCAGAGTAGGCCATAGTGCCGCTATCCGTGCAAAGTTTCTGTCATAGTACTCTGTATATAGTGTATGCCTGTCTTCATTAGCTCACTCAGAGCAAAACAGTACGATGTTTAATCTCATTTAATTTTCCTAAAGATAGGCTGGCAAGCGGACGAGTGCACCCGTTGACTATTGAGCATCATTTACTTGAAAACGTTGAGAGAACCCTCAACGAAACGTCGCTTTAATTAA